GTGAGTAACAACACACAAGAGACTCTGGGTATGGTGAGTAACACACAAGAGACTCTGGGTATGGTGAGTAACACACAAGAGACTCTGGGTATGGTGAGTAACACACAAGAGACTCTGGGTATAGTGAGTAACACACAAGAAACTCTGGGTATGGTGAGTAACACACAAGAGACTCTGGGTATGGTGAGTAACAACACACAAGAGACTCTGGGTATGGTGAATAACACACAAGAGACTCTGGGTATGGTGAGTAACACACAAGAGACTCTGGGTATGGTGAGTAACACACAAGAGACTCTGGGTATGGTAACACACAAGAGACTCTGGGTATGGTGAGTAACAACACACAAGAGACTCTGGGTATGGTGAGTAACACACAAGAGACTCTGGGTATGGTGAGTAACAACACACAAGAGACTCTGGGTATGGTGAGTAACACACCAGAGACTCTGGGTATGGTGAGTAACACACCAGAGACTCTGGGTATGGTGAGTAACACACAAGAGACTCTGGGTATGGTGAGTAACAACACACAAGAGACTCTGGGTATGGTGAGAAACACACAAGAGACTCTGGGTATGGTGAGTAACACATCAGAGACTCTGGGTATGGTGAGTAACAACACACAAGAGACTCTGGGTATGGTGAGTAACAACACACAAGACTCTAGGTATGGTGAGTAACAACACACAAGAGACTCTGGGTATGGTGAGTAACAACACACAAGAGACTCTGGGTATGGTGAGTAACAACACACAAGAGACTCTGGGTATGGTGAGTAACACAAGAGACTCTGAGTATGGTGAGTAACACAAGAGACTCTGGGTATGGTGTGTAAAAACACACCAGAGACTCTGGGTATGGTGAGTAACACACAAGAGACTCTGGGTATGGTGAGTAACAACACACAAGAGACTCTGGGTATGGTGAGTAACAACACACACAAGAGACTCTGGGTATGGTGAGTAACACACAAAAGACTCTGGGTATGGTGAGTAACACACCAGAGACTCTGGGTATGGTGAGTAACACACAAGAGACTCTGGGTATGGTGAGTAAACACACAAGAGACTCTGGGTATGGTGAGTAACAACACAAGAGACTCTGGGTATGGTGAGTAACACACCAGAGACTCTGGGTATGGTGAGTAACAACACACACCAGAGACTCTGGGTATGGTGAGTAACAACACAAGAGAGACTGGGTATGGTGAGTAACACACAAGAGACTCTGGGTATGGTGAGTAACACACAAAGAGACTCTGGGTATGGTGAGTAACACACAAGAGACTCTGGGTATGGTGAGTAACAACACACAAGAGACTCTGGGTATGGTGAGTAACACACAAGAGACTCTGGGTATGGTGAGTAACACACAAGAGACTCTGGGTATGGTGAGTAACACACAAGAGACTCTGGGTATAGTGAGTAACACACAAGAAACTCTGGGTATGGTGAGTAACACACAAGAGACTCTGGGTATGGTGAGTAACACACAAAGAGACTCTGGGTATGGTGAGTAACAACACACAAGACTCTAGGTATGGTGAGTAACAACACACAAGAGACTCTGGGTATGGTGAGTAACAACACACAAGAGACTCTGGGTATGGTGAGTAACAACACACAAGAGACTCTGGGTATGGTGAGTAACACAAGAGACTCTGAGTATGGTGAGTAACACAAGAGACTCTGGGTATGGTGTGTAAAAACACACCAGAGACTCTGGGTATGGTGAGTAACACACAAGAGACTCTGGGTATGGTGAGTAACAACACACAAGAGACTCTGGGTATGGTGAGTAACAACACACACAAGAGACTCTGGGTATGGTGAGTAACACACAAAAGACTCTGGGTATGGTGAGTAACACACCAGAGACTCTGGGTATGGTGAGTAACACACAAGAGACTCTGGGTATGGTGAGTAAACACACAAGAGACTCTGGGTATGGTGAGTAACAACACAAGAGACTCTGGGTATGGTGAGTAACACACCAGAGACTCTGGGTATGGTGAGTAACAACACACACCAGAGACTCTGGGTATGGTGAGTAACAACACAAGAGAGACTGGGTATGGTGAGTAACACACAAGAGACTCTGGGTATGGTGAGTAACACACAAAGAGACTCTGGGTATGGTGAGTAACACACAAGAGACTCTGGGTATGGTGAGTAACAACACACAAGAGACTCTGGGTATGGTGAGTAACACACAAGAGACTCTGGGTATGGTGAGTAACACACAAGAGACTCTGGGTATGGTGAGTAACACACAAGAGACTCTGGGTATAGTGAGTAACACACAAGAAACTCTGGGTATGGTGAGTAACACACAAGAGACTCTGGGTATGGTGAGTAACACACAAAGAGACTCTGGGTATGGTGAGTAACACACAAGAGACTCTGGGTATGGTGAGTAACACACAAGAGACTCTGGGTATGGTGAGTAACACACAAGAGACTCTGGGTATGGTGAGACCACCACTTCCACAGCCCTGAGCGGTAACCCGTGTTTAAGAGGATTTGCCACAACCGTTCCACTCAGGCCAAAAGTAAAGGGTTTACGGGTGGCTGAGGCGGGCGGAGCTCCGCGCTCTCAGCGACTCTCAGGTGCTGGGCAAGCCTTCTGGCTCCTCCTGGTGGCTTCACCTTGCCTCTCTGACCATCCGGCTCTTATTCCTTCCCCCCATAGTGAGGAAAGTAAAGTTGGGGGGAAGGGGGGGACTCTCCAGTACTCTGACACTAGTCTGGGGTTTACTGAATGTATATGGCATTAAAACTACGACAAAAGTGATGCGTTCTGCAGAAATCTTCTCTTATTTTATATATATAATATTGTTACGGTAAAATAACTAATAGAACAGTGGCTATTAGGGCAGATGAAATGAATTCGGCAGATGGAATATATATATATATATATATATATATATATATATATATATATATATATATATATATATATATATATATATATATATATGTATATATATATATATATATATATATATATATATATATATATATATATATATATATATATATATAGTGGTCCCTACACTTGCACTAGAGGTGGTACCCCTTCTAGGTATTTAAAAAATATATATATATATATATATATATATATATATATATATATATATATATATATATATATATATATATATATATATATTTATTTATATAATGTTTCATTAAATATGACTGCATATTTCTGTATTGATTATTTTCTTGTTTAGGGCTTCCATCCCTCTGACTAATGCTCTTGCATCTTGGTTTAATTGGAAGAGGATTTCTCCAAATGTCATCTTTGTTCGTGGTGAAGAAAAAGAAATAATTAACTGTAAAATGTAGAACACTTATTAAAATTTTACACAACGTTTCGAGCCTACATGGTTCATTCTCAAGTGTGGGGACAGTGCTGGGCGTATTAGATTTATACCAATAGGGAGGTACATCATACAAATAGGTAAGGAGTACATCCTAAAGGAAGAACAGGCAATAAATGGGGGACGTAAATAGGGACTCTCTACCCATGTATTTCTATCTCGGTCGAGAATGTAATCCATGTCGGCGGTGTCCCATCTTCCCGGTAATCTGTGTCACGTGATGCACGGAAATTCCCGCTGGCCAGGGACTTTCTCCAAGAGAAAAAGAGAACTTTCTCTTGTCTTTTCGGTACCTTTGCTTCCTTAGGTTGAATCTACGACCTCTTGTTCGTGAAGTTGCAAGTTTAAAAAATAATTCATCCTTGTCGACTTTGTCGATCTCTGTTAGTATTTTGTGTGTAGTGATCATATCTCCTCCTTTTCCTCCAGTCATGTAACCTGGATATTTTTAACTTCCAGTTCCTCATAGCTCACGTTTTTAAGTTTAGGGAGCCACTTAGTGGCACGTGTTGGAACCCATTCTTGTATGTTTATGTGCTTCTTGGGATATGTGCCTCACACCACTGCTGCATATTATAAGACTGCCCTCACATATTTTGTGGTCTATGTAATATTTATCAGCCCATATATTTACACGCGGTTGTGAAACGTGCAACCGTAGCCTAAAGAGGAAGGAGAGGCATAGGTGAAGGGAAGTATAGAAGTGGGAAATACAGTGAGAGGTATGAAAGCAGGCGGGCTGTCCGCCTTGCTGACACGATGTGTGGGTGTTGGGGTCCCCTGATGGCTGACTATCCACAACCTCACCAAGAGCTCTCCTCCTCACAAGTTTTAATATCTTTTCGCGTGATTTGTGTGTGTACTCACCTAGTTGTGCTTGCGGCGGTTGAGCTCTGGCTCTTTGGTCCCGCCTCTCAACCGTCATAATGCGTGCGTGCGCCTAGATATGTACCTAAGCTCCACATACCGAGCGTGTGTTGCCAGCGGCCGACGGAGCTACTGGAGACTGTGACTTTATCCAGCAGATACACTGCGTACAGATATTGACGGTGAAGCAGACCTGCAACTATAAGGAGCATACAGGTGTATTGCTAGCAAGAAATACAACCAGCAGCAAGTTGCTCTATATTTGTATACTCAAGTTAGCTCTAATGCTGTATTATTATATACAACTCCCCCTCCCTCCCCCCCCCCCCCACGAGAACCCCTCGCCCCAGCAACTCCCCCTTTCCCCCCCTCCCCAAAGAGCCCTCGCCCCCAGCAACCCCCACTCCCACAATCACCCCACTCCCACAACCACCCACTCCCACAACCACCCCTCTGCTGCTCCAAACTTCCCCACTGGAGTCACACACTTAATTCAATTCCCTGGGATTCTTTCATCTCAGAGCGCACTCGACTGAGTTATCTTAAGAGTGCGGGACTGGTGGTTAACGTCTCTGTTACTCTGGTCATGAAACAGGGCGAGGGGGGGGGGGGGGTTCGAGGTTCACGCCGCCGCTTTAACCCTATTCGTGAGATCTGGGCGATAGATAAGGTGATTAAAGAGGTGTTTCTCACTCTTAGTCGTGTAGGATGAACTGGTGGTTAAGGTGTCTACCTAATTCTCAGGATGGTAGAGTCTATGGTTCCTTACTTGCTGCCATCCTACACATCCACAGAAGCAGCCATCCTACAGCCCCACACAAGCTGCCATCCTACAGCCCCACACAAGCTGCCATCCTACAGCCCCACACAAGCTGCCATCCTACAGCCCCACACAAGCTGCCATCCTACAGCCCCATACAAGCTGCCATCGTACAGCCCCACACAAGCTGCCATCCTACAGCCCCACACAAGCTGCCATCCTACAGCCCCATACAAGCTGCCATCCTACAGCCCCACACAAGCTGCCATCCTACAGCCCCACACAAGCTGCCATCATACAGCCCCACACAAGCCGCCATCCTACAGCCCCACACAAGCTGCCATCCTACAGCCCCACACAAGCCGCCATCCTACAGCCCCACACAAGCCGCCATCCTACAGCCCCACACAAGGTGCCATCCTACAGCCTCGCACAAGCCGCCAAGGATTCCACCAGAGTTGCCATCCCAAGTTTGCATGCATCATTTTTAAGGACACCGACCTGTTTAATTTAACTGACGAGCCAAAAGTGTGCAACCTGCAAACAGTGCAGAAAGTTGCACCTCAGAGCGTAGTTCGCTCTCCCTAACGATGGCAGTCTCAGAGATTGCCTTCCAGGGCGATACGAGGGATGGAGTCTTATACAGCCATATAACTAGTCCTTTAGAATTAAATCGTCCTTATGGTATACAGTATGTATAGATATACATTACAGTTGTGAACTTGTTTGTGGAACTTTTGATTATTTTCGCTCAACTATAGACGAGTGTGTCGCGTGTGCTGGCTGCACCAGATGTAACTTTTCATGGTGCTACCGAGAAGAACGATGTGCTTGAGTTAAAGCCGTCTGTCGACAAGAAGCCTTGCACCTCTTTATGCTTGACTTAGACCAAGTGAGGTACTAGGTACAGTGGTCTACACCGTTCAATTGTCACTGGGTCTTTGCTTCCAATTAAACCTACATGAGGAATACGGATGGTGGCAGCTTAGGCATCAATAATTTGTGATGTATCTTTTGTGATCAGTAGTAACAGATTATAGATAATTATATATAGCTTAATACAAAAGGTGGAAACAGAGACTAGATGTTACTAGTAAATAAGCCTGTTATTGACAGGCTTATTTACACTTACCTATTTGCATTTACAAATGGGGTTTGCCTTGCCTTAAGTTTCCAGAAAGGGAATTTACTGTCATGAGTACCACGGACGATAATAATAGAATAGAAATATCAGGAAGGAGAGCACCAAGCCATTACGACTATATAGCACTGGGAAGGGGTCAGGATATGGCTTTGGGATGGGACGGGGGGGGAAGGAATGGTGCCCAACCACTTGGACGGTCGGGGAATACCATGGACGAACTTTAACTGGTTAATGAAGCTTCATCTGGTCCGTGACAGGAAGTCACTCAGCATAACAAGGCTTTAGCAACGCTCGCAAGCTTGCTCAAAATGACATGTCGGTTTCAATGTCAAACTCGAGATGTAGGAATGTGGTGCATGAATGAAGCCTTCCATGCATGAAGCCTTCCATGAATGAAGCCTTCCATGAATGAAGCCTTCCATGCATGAAGCCTTCCATGAATGAAGCCTTCCATGCATGAAGCCTTCCATGAATGAAGCCTTCCATGCATGAAGCCTTCCATGAATGAAGCCTTCCATGAATGAAGCCTTCCATGAATGAAGCCTTCCATGCACGAAGCCTTGCAACTGTGGGGAAGAGCATGGTTCTTATTCTCTGGAGGGGAGGGTTTAGGGACATTCTCTCCAAGGTTTTTGTAATGGCAACTAGTAAGCGGAAGCACTCTCTCTTGATTAGGCTCAGGAAATGGAATGATGCTACTGTTGGTGAGCAAGACAGGGAGCTCCCAGAGACGTAGGTTCGAACCCTCATCACGGCCCTTGATGAGGGTCTCATTTTCCAACCCCACACACTCACCTGTGGACCCCTACGACCACACACTCACCTGTGGACCCCTACGACCACACACTCACCTGTGGACCCCTACAACCACACACTCACCTGTGGACCCCTACAACCACACACACTCACCTGTGGACCCCTACAACCACACAAACTCACCTGTGGACCCCTACAACCACACACACTCACCTGTGGACCCCTACAACCACACACTCACCTGTGGAACCCTAGAGACAGGAGCCACTGTTGCAACAAATATACACATCCATATCACACGCCTCACATTATTATTCTCAGTTAAAACTTCATATGAATGCTAAAAGGAGATATGCATTCGACACACTCATGTGGTTCTATTTTGCTAGAGTACAATACAATATGTAGCTGCAGTCCTATAGAACACTTGAAAATCTTACATGGACCCCCCCTGGGGGTTCTGTGGACCCCCCTGGGGGTTCCATGAACCCCCGTGGGGGTTCTATGAACCCCCGTGGGGGTTCTGTGGACCCCCTTGGGGGTTCTATGGAGCCCTTGGGGGTTCTATGGAGCCCTTGGGGGTTCTATGGACCTCTTGGGGGTTCTATGAACCCCTTGGGGGTTTTGTGGACCTCCCTCCTGTTGGGAATCACCATATAGGACAAGGATGAGATAGTTGGCCAACCTTACCGCCTTTGATTCTTTTTAACATCCTTTTATGCCTGGCTGAGAGGGGCGTGAGGTTCGAGACTGTAAGCTAAAAGTTTCCCAAATAGCTTGATTGAGCTCCCTCTCCTGGGCTCGGGCTCTCTGGTGGAGAGCCTCTGAGCACGTCTGGGCGTAAGGGTGTCCCTATATGCCAGGGCCAAACTCTACTGGCAGTGCGTAAACTATGTTGCTGTCGACTTTCCCCCTTAACGTAGCCTCGCATACGGCTGGTTATTCTTCACCCGCATAAGACCCCCCTCATTTCACATACACTGGGCCCGGTAATTTGACCAGTGACCTAACTAAATATATTCACATCATTCCTCGTTAAAGCTCACCTCTCATGTTCTGTCCGCAGCCTACCTGACTCATATTCACACTCACTCACCTCTCATGCTCACTCACCATCCCCACCTCACACACTACAAGCACACCTCTCATGCTCACTCACCATCCCCACCTCACACTTCACACCCCCAAATTTATACCCACATTATCCTATATACATGACCTCATTTGCGGCTGATATAAGCCTCATAATTCCCTCACAACAACTAGTCATGGACGGGAACTTTACGAGACAACATAATGCTGGATTTAAGCGCTCTGCAGAAAAGTGCGCCTCATTGAGCTCCCTCGGGGCTCAACCTGGGCTTTATGGGGTGCGATAACATACTCAAGGACGACAGAACACTTACAGATATCTGAAACTTTGTCTACTGTACCCACACACCTGGCCTACGAGAGGCATCAGGTGCAAGAATCTCTGCCAAACCTGTCTCTGCCTCGGACGGGAATCTAACCTTAGACCTTCTATACTTAAATCATCACTACTTGTATTATTATTACCCCCCCCCCGGCCCCGTCACACACCGCCCCGTCACACCCCGCCCCCCGTCACACACCCCGCCCCCGTCACACACCGCCCCCGTCACACACCACCCCCCGTCACACACCACCCCCGTCACACACCGACAGCCAACTATGGAAATAAATCATCCTCAACCAATCATTTTCTAATTACCGTGAACTGCTACAAGGAAAAAGGTTCCCCGAGTATTATTTCCGTGGTGACGCTCACTCCTCCCTGGTCACTGTCTCGTATTGGGGCTTTATTAGTGCCTTGTGCCACCCGGCCCTGACTGTGGCCCTGACTATGGCCCTGACTGTGGCCCTGGCTATGGCCCTGACTGTGGCCCTGACTGTGGCCCGGACTGTGGCCCGGACTGTGGCCCGGACTATGGCCCCTGACTGTGGCCCTGACTGTAACCCTTACTGTGGCCCTGAGTGTGGCCCCTGACTGTGGCCCTGACTGTAACCCCTACTGTGGCCCGGATTGTGGCCACGACTGTGGCCCTATGACCCTGACTGTGGTCCTGACTGTGTTCAGGGGTTCAGGGGAAGCAAGACGAGCGTCAACCCATGGTTCAGAGAACAAACAAAAGATCATGGATGATATACAGAGAACACTAAGCGGAAGGAGCCCAGGAGAGTGGCAGAGAAGCACTCTGATAATGTTACTGCATACTAGGCTAAAGTCCCAGCCTAAACCTTGCCATAGGTTATCTTGAGGTTATCTTGAGATGATTTCGAGGCTTTTTTAGTGTCCCCGCGGCCCGGTCCTCGACCAGACCTCCACCCCCAGGAAGCAGCCCGTGACAGCTGACTAACACCCAGGTACCTATTTTACTGCTAGGTAACAGGGGCATAGGGTGAAAGAAACTCTGCCCATTGTTTCTCGCCGGCGCCTGGGATTGAACCCAGGACCACAGGATGACAAGTCCTGCGTGCTGTCCGCTCGGCCGACCGGCCATAGTCACATCAGGAGAAATATGGCTACTGGACTTTAACCTAGACAAATGCAAAGTTATCGCGTAACCCAACGCCAGTGGACGATGAAGAGGAAACAAATTCCTGCTGCGGCAGAGGAAGAGAGATCCGAGAGTAGTCACAATAACTCTAAGGTCACACACACACACACACACACACACACACACACACACACACACACACACACACACACGGAACAGGCTCTCCTGCTGACAACCAGTAAAACACCCCCAAACTTTTATATCCAATTAACCCTGGATACGCAGATATATATATTTTTAATTGCCACATAACTGCCCTCGGGCGCCGCATCGAAAAAGTTGCGAAGGCCTTTTTTCAGGGCGGGTTTTGGCGGAAACTGCAAGTTAAATTAAAAGTCTAGTTTAGAAATAAGCCTTATTGAGCGCCAGGTGATCATTACCACGTTACACAATACCTTAGTGAAGGTACTCGGCCACACCTCTGTCCCTGCCAGAGTACACGCCAAGAGGACTAGTACTCTGGGAGTACTGGCCCTCGCCTGCACAGCACTCTCCTAGTCCCCCTGTGCTGTGCAGCTGTGCCTAAGAGAAGGTCTCCGTTAGTTATTCACAATAAAAAGGCTCATATTAGAAATAAGTCCAAAATAATTAAGCTGTTAAGACTTTCAAAATAAAACCACCGAGGCTGAAAAGGTTATTAGGCTAACTACCCCAAAGTCTTGGGGAAAAAAAACTGCTGGAGTTGCATAGCAGCAGCGTCTGGAAGCCTGCTCAAAGGAAGTCTGAATGTCTACTCAAAACAAGTCTGGAAATCTGTTTAAACGAAGTCCTGTTAAAGGAAGTCGAAGTCTTCTTAAATGAAATCTGGGAATCGAATGAATGGAATTCTGGACGTCTACTTGAAGAGTGGAATCGTGTGAAAAGTGCCACAGACCGGTCCTGAGACCACAACAGGCTGGTGGATCACTGGCCCCGAGACCACAACAGGCTGGTGGATCACTGGTCCTGAGACCACAACAGGCTGGTGGATCTGCTCTCAGACAGCCCACCTAAACTATGGAGACTCAGACATACAAAAAGTCAATATTACCCCCTTGTAATTTGCATTAATGCGTCGCGGTATTAACGCATTGGACGATTCCGTCGTAAAAGCGACGTACCAGGCGAGA